GGCCGGGGGCGGCGTGGTGGGGCTGGGTGGGGGCCGGGGTGTCACGGCCAGAGCCAACTTGTTACTGACTTAGGCCCGCGCCCTAAGGGGTTAAACCTTTCTCATGTTACGGAGCGGCTTATAAGGAGGGGGAGGCCAAGCCTCCGCCTTATTGGGAGCCTTTTGGGGTTTATTCTCTTCCCTTCTAACTTGGTGAGTTGGTTTTATTATTTTACGTGTTTGAAAGTTTGATTGTGGGGTGTGGGTTTTTCTTAAAAAAAAAAAAAAAAAGTGTCGGTCGGGGGCCTTCTGGGGAAGGGAGGCCGAGGAAGCCCCTTCACGTTGTAACATTTTGGAGAGGTTATTCCAAAGCGGTCTGTGATAGTTGGGAATGCGCGGGGCCACCCGGAGGACGCGCGCTTGCCAGTATGGGCAGCTGAGAGTTGCGTGCCCACGACCCCGGCGCAGTCCGGGTCTGGGAAGGTCCTGAAGGCTGGCCTGGCCTGTGGGCGCCCCTCGCCCTGGCTGAGGGGCTCCAGGCTGCCGGGCGAGGCGGGGGCGGCGCGCCGAGCCCCTCTGAATTTTCCGCATGAAGTTGCCTGCGCGGCGCGACAGCGAAATGTCAGAGGTACCTTCCTTCCCCGGGCGCGCGCGCAGCAGAGCAGCCTCCGAGGCGGCGCGGCGCGGGGGACGGTGGGGCTCCCCGCCTCTGCCCTGACATCCCATTCTCGGGGGTGGCCCACGTTGCCCCGGGTGGGATGCAGGGCCACCCGAGGAGTGCGGGTCCTACACCTTGACAGTCGGGACAGCCGGCGGCTGGCGCGGGTCCCGCGCAACTTCCAAGGTTCGCACCAAGAGAGCGCCGGTGTAGCTTCTCAGTTCCGGAGCAGAGGAGAACGGTTTTGCAGAGGAAGTGGGTTGTTTCTTTCTGGGTTCTTCGCATTCTCCCCACGTCAGCAGCCAGGTGATAGAAGTTTGTTAGGCGTCACGTAAAATGTCACCGAAGATGAGCGGTGTCAGTCTTAGAAAAAGCTCTCCGTAGGCAACCGGGAAAGAGCGGTTAAAACTTGTCGACCTAGAAGCCGGGCTGTTTGCAGTTAGACCCTCCTGCCGGCTTCTTTTGGAGGAAGGGGCTTGTATCCCTGCAATAGGAAGATGTGTGTCTTGCTGGGAGGAGGGGGAAGCCAAATGTTCTTGGTGAACTCCCCTCTGATGCATCTCCCTGTGTCCCTAGCATTATTTTGTGGCATTTTATGGGGTCACTAGTAAGACATCCTGCTGATGAATCTAATAGAAACACCTCTTCGAGGTTCCAATTAAGAGGAAGGGTGTCCAAGATGGAAAGGGACCTGATGTAAGTAAACAACGCAGCCAAGTGGAAAAACGCCTGTTTAATGAGCACCGCTGGCCCTGCGTTTTCCTTCTGTGGCTTCCAAAGCAGGACTTTCCTCAGTGGAACTCCTGAGGAAGACACTTAAATTAGGGGCTCAGGTTTCAGCTTCGTGGGCTTGCAAGACGGGCAAATTGGTTGTGCCCGTGAGTCAACGCTACATAGGCAGCCGTCCAGGTTAGGTTTGGGATTTTTTTTTTTTTAAATAGAGAATTCAAATGAACTTCACCCAAATACAGACTGGTTTGGCCAACTGGGGCCAGAGACAACTTGTCAAAAGCTGCTGTCTGCGGCTACGCCTTTAAGAAGAATGGAAATTCGAAGTGTGGTTGCTCAGGCTCTGCCAACGCTGCTGCCGTCCTGTTTTGAACTTTGAACTGACCCTCGACTAGCTCTCAGATGGTCCCTAATAATCCCATCGTTCCTCTGGGCAGATCTCCTCAACAGATTAAAATCACAGTGAAAATTCCAGGTAAAGCCAATTGGTAAGCCTTAGGAGGATACCTATTTATTTTAAGGGGATGCCTTTTTGTGTGTGTGTGGGGGGTCTCTTTGAGACTGGGCTTCCCTATGTAGTTCAGATTAGCCTTAAACTGACATTGTAGCCCAGGCTGGCCTCAAACTCAAAGCTATCCTGCCTCAGCCTCAGCCTCCCAAATGCTGGGATTACAGGTGTGCATCACCATGCCCAGCTTTGTTTCTTGTTTCTTTTTTTGTTTTTGGTGGGGTTTTTGGTGGGGTTTTTTTGGTAGGTTTTTTTTTTTTTTTCCCTTTAAGGAAGCAATTAGATAATCAAACTCTACTAGGAAATACATGAGACTGGCCAGTATATTTTGTCATATTCCTTCAGAAGAACAGAGGCATGCAGGGAAGACAGCTGGCAGGAACCCAAATTTAGAATTATATAATTCCATACTTGGAAAATACCTGAGAGAAACTGCGTCTGTAAACCCTTGCTTTTTGAGATGATGAAATCTAGGGATTATATGATTTCAGTCAATTAGTGGTAAACAGAAATTCAGCAACTATTGCTTGATGGCTTCAAGAAGGTAAACCCCAAACCTGTGGGCCTTCAAAGGAGTTGACAAGAAAGGACAGGAGAACAACTCAGAGCAAGCTAGGGTCCAGGACTGTCACAGAGTTTCCTTTTCTTGGCCAGGGACGTAGCTCAGATGTAGAGTCCTTGCTAGCATGTTCAGGGCCCTGCACCCTTGCCCCAGCTCCCCACCAAAAAAAAAAAAAAAAAAAAAATCCCTTTTCTTAGAGCAGGAAGAGATCTCAGATCAGAATCTAGCTGAATTCCCTCATTTATGTATTTCAGATACTAAAGCTGAGAAGTGAGGTAGTATATCTGAACAGGGTCACTGATCTTGCCTCAAAATTAGATCCCATATCACCAACGGACATCCCTTCCTACCAAACACAACCCCAAAACCAAATGGACAGGCAGTTTGCATATTCTGAGATTTGTAAAGGTTTCTAAGTAGCCACGTTGAAAATCCAGCCTTCAGTTGCAGGGGCAGATAGTTTGTGAACCCAATTGCTCTTCCCCTGAACAAATGCAAGAAAGAAAAGGAGGCAAGGAAAAGCTCTGTACTGCAGCCTGGCACCTCCCCCTGGTTTTACGGCTTAGTTTTATAAAGAAAGTGCTCCACCTTGCTTTGGGTCTAATTCAAGACTTGTTCCATAAGCTTTTAGTGAGCACATAGCGTGTGCCCCATGCTGGGCCAGGCTCGGAGTCTGGAAAGGGCAGCTGGTTGCCGCGTAGGGGCTTGTGGAGCACAATCTAATGAGTGAAATGCAGGCACAGTCACCTGGCATTAGAAACCAGGCTGTTCCACTGTTAGGCCGTGCTGTGGTCTTCAGAGCTGGGTCCAATAGGAAACCAGACGCTTTATAATGGTTAGGGCAGATGCTCAGGAGAAGTGGGTCCGAGGTGCCCTCCTCACTTGATGATGATCCCAGTAATAAGAAAGCAAACTGTCCTCCAAAACTCCAAGACTGCAAGTGAAAATTAAACTTGAGTCTAGCCATAGTAGAGTGGCACAAACACCCAGAAAGGGCACAGAGAGCAAGCAGAAGTCAAAAGTCCACACTTCTGAGCAGCTGTCGCAAGCCAGATCCAGCCAGTGTCCACGCATGCTGCCAAGAGCCATCTAGCGTTTGCACTTGCCGTCCAAGAGTGTCCCGGGTTCACTCGTCAGGTCTGACCTGAGACGCTAGTGGCGGGGAATGGACTTCAACGCTGAATTCAGAGCCTCAACTCGAAGCCGGAACAAACCTTAGACTCCCCAGACCATTTGACAGAAGAAAAATTGAGGCCCAGAGGGAGGGAAGACACTTGCTCAAGGTCGCATGGTTAAGTGGCCAAACAGTTCGCCGGCCTCTACACATGCAGAGCAAGGGAGCCTTTCCCTTAACAGAAATGGCTTTCTCGCAGTCGCTACATGGAACAGCTCCCGTGTAGTGCTGCCCCATCAGCTTAGACAGCAGGCTCCTATGGGCAGGAGATTTGATTTTGGACCATTTTAGTCAAATCCCTGTACCTCTCTGGCCTCGATTTCTCTAAGAAGGGCTTTACAGAAGTTGAACAAGATGAGCTCCAAATCCCCTCTTGGCTGTGCATCAGTAATTCTGACCCCATCGGGCAGTACCGGTGAACCTCACCCCACCCATTCTGGAATGCAAACTAGTGATTATGGGGCAGAGGGAGATGAACAGTCACCAGTGGGGCTGAAAGGTGGCCTGCGCCAGGGGTGGTAGCGCATGCCTGTAATCCCAGCGCTCGCTCAGGAGGTTGAGGCTGAGGCAGGAGGATCGCAGTGAGTTCGAGGCCAGTCTAGGCTGCATAAAGGTAGGCCAGGGTCCAATTAGCCTGACTTAAAGGGTTTTACCCTTGGAGGGGGCGGGAATACACTGAAAACCCTGAGCAAAAACATGCCATGACTGTGCAGTATTTCCAAAAGGTGAATTTACCACACATGTGGAGCCAGCTAAAGCTAAGAAAGGAGTCCTGGGCTTCACAGGGAAGAGGTCAGACCCAGGGCCTCATGGAAGGGGTGCAGGCCACAGCGCTGTCACCCACAGGCTCACCACTGCCCCCCCCCCACGGGCTGCTTCCTGCAGCAGCCCTCCCCCCGGGACAAGCAGTGTTCTTAAGCCAGCCCCAGAAGAACAGCTTTTCAGGCTCCTGAATCCTAAGGCTGATGCCGTTTTCACTCCTCTGCCTGCCCCCTCAGCCTGTGAGGGACTCCGGAAAGGCTCCTGGGGAGGGTGGGGCAGCCTGGAAGGCTCCTGGCTCCCACCTTCGAGCAGCTGGAGACCCTCGTGCCCATCCCTGCACCGCTCCTAGGCGTGTTCCTGCCCTCCCACCTTCTCATTTGCTTTCTGGCATAGCGGCACATTGCAGCACCCTGCAAAGGCCTGGGCTGCCGGCAGCACCAGCTTCCCAAAGCATCCATGCCCCAGTTCCCGGGAAGCAGAGTATAAATAGTGGTATGGAGCCTCCCCACGCACTGGGCTGCTGCGGGATGGAGCCATCCTTAAGATGAACACAGGAAGCTAGGTCAGATGCGGTGCTATTTAAGATTTATAAAGTTAATTCAGAATATTAGATCTTAGGGTCTGAAACCTCAAGTCCACGGCATAGAGGAGCTTCAGTCCTACCTTTCACTTGCCTCTACTATTGATAAAGCCTTGGTTTTTTACTTGAACGTGAAAATTTTAGGGCCAGAAAAGGATAGATGTACACCCTTCAATGGCTTTTGTGTTTGTTGTTTGTTTGAGACAAGATCTCACAATGTAGTCCAGGCTGGCCTCAAACTCCCCAGGACCCTCCTGCCTTGGCGTCCTGGGTGCTGGGGTGGCAGGTATGTGCTACCACAGTTGGCTCCAACAGCCTCTTTCTCCTACATACAGTTGTGTAATTATAAAGAATTCCTCAACTTGAGGTTGGTTACCATTAAGAGCTTTAAGGCCATCGCTTTTCTTTTATTTTCTTTTATTATTTTTTTTAATGTATTAAGTATAGGGTTTACAGGGTCTCACTACGTAGATCGGACTCATAGTGATCCTGCTGTTTTCAGCCTCCCAAACGCTGGGATTACAGGCGTGCGCCACCATGCCCAGTCTCAATCGCTCTATCAGCACGCCCTGTGGCGGGGCTGGCACAGCACACTGGCAGTGTGAGCTCTGCCTAAGCAGGCACTTTAGTCGGCTGAGCTATCTGGCCGGCCCTAGGAAGGGCTTTCGTTGGAGGAGAATTAAGCCTTGGAAAACAGAATCTGGATTCATACAGGTGGACTGAGAAACAGTAGGAATTTTTTTTTAATGTATTTAGTACAGGATCTACAGGGTCCCATAATGATTCTCCTGTTTTCAGCCTCCCGAGCGCTGGGATTGCAGGATCGTGCCACCAAGCGTCTCAGCACGCCCTGGGAGCCAGGGTAGCACGGCAGGCCGGAAATCGAGCCCCAGCCCCTGTGTCTGCCTAAGCAGGCGCTTTAATCCACTGAGCTATCTGGCCTGCCCTATAACTTTTATCCTTATAAGCACCATTCATTTATGACCTAAAATATAGACCACTGTTTGAAAATTACATGTGATTTCAGAGGTTTTGCAGTATTCATGTGCTAGAGCTCAGTTGAGGAGATGAATTAAATCAGCCTCCCTCCGGGTTTTTAAGGCTCAGGTCTGCTTGTCCTGATGTTGCTTGGAGTCGGAAAGGGTAACTCGGCTAACTGGTGCACAGACAGTCCTGCGGGTTGGCAGAGCCTTAGTTAGTCCCTGTGTTCTGGAGTATCAGGCGGTGATCAGCTTTGAGGAATGGATGCTAAACAAACCCTCCAAGGACAGAACTGTCACATGTCGAGGTACGGTTACACTCTGTCCTCGTAGCTGCACCTACTCGAGACAAAATCGTCAATCAGTCCAGCTCACTGGGTGGAAATGGCAGAGCGAGGCTTGGCTCGAGGCCGGGGCACCAAGCAGAGAGGCACGTGGCAACTCCTGCCTCTGGACACGCTCTTGGTATTTGCCCTCCGCCTCTCTTTTTTTAGATTTCCCTTCCCATCATTCTTTTTTTTTTTTTTAATGTATTTAGGACAGGGTCTACAGGGTCTCACTATGTAGATTGGACTCATAGTGATCCTCCCAAGAGCTGGGATTAGAGGTGCGCACCACCACATCCGGGCGGGGCTGGCATGTCATTATTATTATTATTATTATTATTACTATTATTATTTAAGGGAAGGATCTACAGGGTGTTCAGGGTCTCACTACTAGATCGGTTTTTTTTTTTTTTGCGGAACCAGGGTTGAACTCAGACCCTTGCGCTTGCTAGGCAAGCGCCATCTCCCCGGCCCTATCACAACTAGATCGGACTCGTAGTGATCCGCCCGTGTACAGCCTCCCAAGTGCTGGGATTACAGGCGCGCGCCATCACGCCACCTCAATCGGCCGTCTCAGCGCGTCCCGGGGGCCGGGCTGGCACTGCAGGCCGCTGAGCCTGCTTGCAGGCGCTTTAATCCAATGAGCTATTTGGCCGGCCCATTCGTTATTCTTCATGATCATCTCTGCCCTTGCTGGCCTCGTCTCCTTGGGCATCAGCATCAGAACTTGATCTGGTGACCATTCTGTGCTCCCCAAAGGGCCCCTCAGTATTCTGCCCTGCCGCCCCGGTGTTTGTTATGTTTTCCCCATTTAACTATCAGAAGGAAGTCTTCCAGGTCCAAAGACAGGTAAGTAGGTAAGAGGCATATTGATAGATTGGTAGACAGACAGATAAAAAAATTGTCCAAAGACTATTTAAGTATTTAACAGCCTAAGAAACATGTTAATTGGTTCATATCTGTTATGTTTGCTGGAATATTTGAATCTCCAAGCCTAAAGCTATTGGTGGTCTCAGTTGGTTTTTGTTTCTTTTTTATTTAAGATCAAGAATGACCCACAAGAAATCAAAGTTTTGCTGCAGAGCCAATGAGTACACTCAAGTGCCTGATGGGGGCTGGGGCTGGGCGGTAGCTGTTGCTTTTTTCTTCGTGGAAGTCTTCACATATGGCATCATCAAGTCCTTCGGTGTCTTCTTCAAGGACTTAATGGACAGTTTCGACCAATCCAACAGCAAGATCTCGTGGATAGTATCGATATGCGTGTTTGTCTTGACGTTTACAGGTGAGCACATCTCCTGCCTCAGCACGACCTCGGCACGTGGTCCTGTGAGTCTATCCAGGCGCATACAGAATGATAGTCTGTGTCCGGGGTCATTCCCCTACCGGTCCCCTCGAGTCCCTCTGGAGGCCCTCTTGAATCTTGATAAGTGATATAGAGCCAGGGAGACAGCTCAGCAACATAAGCGCCTGCCTGGCAAGCACGAGGTCCTGAGTTTGACCCCCAGTACCACCAAAAAAAAAAGATACATGATACAGTTTTCAGAGTTGGAAACTGGCAAGATACAGGAGGTCCTGAAGAGGCCCTCCTAAAGGGACTGCCTCCAGCTGAACATGCTGCACTAGCTCTTACGGTTCCAGAGAGCACTTTGAGGACCGCAGTCAGCCCTGGTGCTGTGAGCATGTAGTGACTGTCTAAAGAAGTGAATCAAAAAGTCCTGGGCACATTAGGATCAGGTATCATCAAAGCATGCTTAGAAAACAGGTTGGAGGGCCAAGGAGATAGCTCAGGGGAATAAGTGCTTGCCTGGCAAGCACAAGGTCCTGGGTTCTCTCCCTGGTACCACCAAAAAAAGAAAGAAAACAGATTAGAAACATGTAAATGTGGATACATGAAGAAAAAAGGGATGTGGAAAAGGAGAGACAGTCTTCCATACCCAAGGGGTCCTTTGCCCAGTAGACACTGAGCCGGCTGCAGATTGAAAATGTATAGAAGTTGGACAGGATTCCCTCCCAGAAATCCAGCCAGCACTGCTCTGGACAGGAGTGTGTAGACAGCTGGGCCTGCACTGCATGTTCCCGGATTTCTTTTTCTTGTCATTGTTCCCTAACAAGTGGAGAGTGTTAGTGTTTGTTGTGGTTGGGTTGGGGTTTTTTTTGTTTTTTTTTTTTTTTTTTTTTTTTTTCAGAATCGGGGATTGAACTCATGCCCTTATACCTCAGGGGAAAAGTGCTTGCCTGTACTGGGGATCCAACTCGGGACCTTGCGCTTTCCAGGCAGGCACTTACATGACTGAGCTATGTCACACACAC